ACAAACCCGCAGTAAACACGCAAGATTGTTTTACGTAATTTTTGCCATAAAGAAAAAGTGGATAAGAAAGAATAAAGTGAGCTTATATATGGATTGGGTATAGAGGGCACATTGACGTAGGTGGGTAGAGTCACAAAATTAAAATCTCTATGAGAAAATTGTGGGGTATAAAGACTGGAGCAAGTGAGGTAGAATTCATACCAATGCTTAGATGGGCAAAGAAGAGAAATTTTCATTGGGATAAAGCTAAAATATGAGCAAAGGTAAGTATTTTTTGGAATGCTGTTTTTTTTACACACCCCTATGGTTTGAAATTCATAACAGACTAATGAAGGGAAATTGCATAAAAGCTTAAGCAAACATCTGCACTTGAATGTAATTACTATCACATCTAATAGGGGCCTAATAAGCTTCTTGTCTTCATCAGATTATGTAATTTATGTCACTTCATGTCTATATAATTTTTAAATAAGTTAAAATAGCAGATGTAAACAATGATCTATTATAAGAATTATCAAGGATGCTTTAGATTTAGTAAAAACATTGTTAATTAAAAATCAATGATCTGATTGATTTAATAAAGATAACAATTAATTAATATAATACTGAGAAATACTTGGAAAAATTTAGTTGATTCAAACTTAATGAACTTGGTACTGAAACATGCAACTTAAAACTTAATTAACACAACAAAATCAATAACCAAAACTTAATATTCTGATACTAACCTGCATGGTTGTCATAAGACCCACAACGTCCAACAAGTATTTTAAAAGAAGTGGAACAATAGTAGTAAAAACAGAACTTCCTGCTGTAACCAGGCCATTCACTAAACCTAATCGTTGTTTGAAGTAGTGTCCAAGAATCACTAAAGATGGTGTATATGCTAATGATGCTCCAGAGCCTAGCACCACCCCATAAGTAAGATATAACAGTTCCAAGTTCTTAATCAAGGAACTAAGAAACATTCCAAGAGAAGCCAGGAAGCCACCAAGGAATGCTGTCCTCCGAATGCCTATTTTATCAATAAGGATACTGGCTACTGGAGAAAGGAGAAAAGTCATTCCTATGGACACTGATCCTACCCATGCTGGAATAAAAAAAAATAGTTTACATAAATATTCACTAATACTGGCATGTATACATGAGATTATAAGTTACAATGCATGGTTACTTAACTGAATACATACATGCTTTAGTAACATTCTGCAGATTTAAATGTAACAAGCCTAAAAATACATTTGTGACCCCATATTCTTCTCCAGGTATCATTAGGTTAGTTTACTTCAAAGTTTTCTTTGCACTCATGACACAGAATCATACTAATTAAAGAAGAATATCCTCAATGAAAAATAGATGATACAAAATTCTTATAATAATGTTTGGTGGGACTACTGAGCATAAAACAAAAAAAAGCAGTAGAGGTCATTCAATTTTTGTTGTATTTCATTTCCTAAAAACATAAGTAATGCAGAAGCCAATGTAACATAATCTATAAAATATTTCACAACTGTATATATATATTTTTGACCATTTGAGACTTAACACTGTCATAATTTGGAAAAGGCACAGCAGTCAGAAAAGAGAAATATGTTAAATTACATTGCATTACAACCATAATCTTCTCTACAGATTTGTTAGATTATTAAAAAATTATTATTAACATCAATTTACCAACTATACTCAAATGTTTATGATGAGCATCACACAAAGATTCTTTTTTTTTTGGTATCCACATTAGAATCAGGTAGTTCAAGAAATTATTTGTATACTTATTGTTAAAGTATTTATAAATGTCTTTGAGGATTTCAAATTCATTCAATCAGTTCAAAAACATGTACAGAGGTTATAAGAAACAATTAGTAATTAAATACCAACAAAAGAAATATACAGATACAATCATAAAATTATTTTGGTATTTATAATATGGAACTACTTTAATATTTTAATGATATGATAAAACCATTTCTTATCTCTTTGTCTTGACAAAAAAATTTACTCAAAAGTGAATCTTATATTAATACAAAAACTTTTTTAACCACATAATTCTTTCATAAAAGTAAATGTGCTTTATTAATATTTCATATTATATTATTTATGGATCCAGCCTTGTGATCATGCATAACAATTAGATTTCAACACTAGAAAGCTTTGCCTATGTTTATGTGTTCAACTGTTGTAATATATATTTGACTTGTACAAACGTCCACAAAATAATTCTCTTTGTAGTACAGGACTATATCATGCATTAGCACCCCCCCCCCTCCCAAGGTTAATATTCATGTTTTCATAATTATTGATTTGGAGAATTCTCAGTATGAACATATAGAAGATCTCAATTAAGTTACTCATCTTTTCCTTTCTTCACTGCACATGGCACATGAATTCACTAACTGGAAAATATCCATGTTTTCTTAGAAGAAATATAACTTGTAACACCATGAGATAAATTGTTGTTTTTCTTTTTGGCAAGTCAGATAATAGCTAGGAGCTACCAAAGCCTTTGCACTCAGAATGCTGTGGGCAAACATTTCTTATGAAATGTGGAGTTGTATACAAGCCTGAGAAGTTTTGGCAGGGTAGGAGTCATCTTCATCTAAGACAGATTTACTGTTCTAACAGAGTGGTTAGCCTTTGGAATAAGTTGTCTTCAGATGTAGTAGATGCAGTTAATCTTGACAAATATTTGAAAAAACCTCAAAGCCAAACCTCAGTGTTCAGTATAATTTAGTGGATAAGAGGGCCTAGGTGGATCAAAAGGTCCCTTGTTGTCCTTTAATGTTACAGATCACAGTGGAATCCATCAACAGGGTTATCAAGGAACAACTGAGCCCAGCTACAAGGCATCACTAAGGAGTATAAAATATTCATAACCTGACTGAGGTTGTATCAGTGGTGAAGCACAGGAAAGGAGAAATTGGGCAGTAGCAGCTGTTATAATAACACTCAGTACTACCCACCCTGCACAAGTTGGTGCCTTCCATTCTGATTGGTCTCTGCCGAGAACAGAACCACATCCAACAACTAAAGGTGTTGTGGCACAATTAGGCTGGTATCTGGCCTACCAGGCAGGGTTTTAAAAAAGAGGATTTAACCATTTGTTTTGGTTGTGGGTTACAAGAGTATTTTTCCATGAATTGTTCATATCTTGCAAGCCAGCTAGATAGACAGATCCTTCCATCTCAACTAATTGTACAGCAAATACAAAAGGGCCAGTTAGCAAGTTGTTGCTGCTGATGTTCAAATTATGGAACATTAATGGAGTCCTAAACAGCTTAGGCCAGCTCTTTCAGCACTGAGTAGTACTTAGTATATGCCTGTACAAATGCACAGTAGAGCAATGGAGTTCCTGGCTAATTAATACAGAAGCTGCAACAAACCTGATTGATACTATCATATATCAGGAACTCTGAATAAAACCACCTTTCTGGCCACTGGATTTGAATGGAGATGTGAATCTCCAACTTCATCTAATCCACATAAACCAAAGATCGAAGATCATCACTGCAGATCTCGGGTCTGGCACTGGCATCCCTGGAATTGATATACTGCAAACAATCTCTGCTAACTTGCCTGGGAAATAGGTGAATTGAGTTTTGGTGGGAAGAGCATCCAGTGCCAGTAAAAACTAACACAAAGACAGTGAACTGTGCATTTGTACCTTACAGAATGTATGATAGTACCTCAAGTATATGCTAGTAATGTGGCATGATTTACGTTGGACCAGATTGAGTGTGCTAATGCCATTTATCATGGCTGTCAAACCAACACAAAAGAAATACTGTATTCTATCCAAAAAACAAGCAGCAGTAGCATGTATATTGATCTGTCCAGTGTTGTTCTGCAATTATGGACAATGGGTTATCCAGCTTCCTACTGGAATGTTTATCAAAGTAGCAAGCAAAGTGGAAGTGACCAATAATAGCAATCCATACTCAACACAGCCCCAGAGTCTCAGTGATAAGATGGCCAAGTATGCCAATATATTTGTTGATCTGGATGGCCATTTGAGGAGAACTACAATCACACACCATCACACAGAAACAGGTGATGTGAGTCCTATAAAACAACTTCCATGTAGGCTTCCCTGGAGCACTAGTGATGTAGCCAGCAATGAGATGAAATGGATGTCAATAGATGGGCTCATGCAGGCTGTCAAGAGTGTGTGTGTGATGATGACATAAGCTGGTTGAAACGTTATATATTTGAAAAGTTTCTTTCACTACCCATTCCAGCTGTCTTCAAACTTTATTTTCTAAAAAGTAGATACTTCATCATAAAGTTTAAAATTTAGCACTACATCACTGACCAAAGTTAGTCGTTCTCATTATTACCGTTTTGGATTTTTTCAACTATCCAAGTCTCATGTGAGAATAATTGGTTAGTTTAATGCAATCATTTAATGAACCCAAAAATTAACTAATTAGCAGATCCCAGCTCTATTTCAGATGTCATCTAAGGTTTGAGCATAGCACAATCCCTAACTTGAAACTGCTAATAAAAGGGAGAGCAATGATTCATCAACACCTGCTACTTAAGTGGCAACTCTTAACTGCATAGTGAGATTGACTGTCGCAGTTAAATCACCCCCTACATCTGAAAGTGCTTAGCATATTCAGTGGCATGTCAAGGTTCAAACCTCCAACCCTCTAACCTGTGGTCCATTATGCTAACTACTAAACCACTCCTGACCCAAAGAAATCTTAATAACATTAATTTCAGATATGACAATGTTAATTATCACTTTTTCCATGCATGTTAATGTTATTACTTTTAGATAATGTTGTGTATATTGGTACAGAGTTATGTTTGGAAGTAGTTGTGTAAGAATACAGAAACAGTACAAAGTAAAGCAATCAAGTACAATAAAAGCAACTACACACTAATTTTGTTTAAACTCCAGTGCATCAAGAGAAAATGAATAACAGACTGAATTACTTTAATTTTGAAGATCATAATTTACTAATATCAAAGTCTGATTGAGAAATGTTGGTAATGTTAATTTTTATAAAATAAAGTATAGACAAAACAATTACAGTATGATTTGGAATCAACTAACAAGTCATTAAGTTCATCAGCAACATTTGATAATCTAAACATATTCCTACGATTAGTGTTGGGGAACTCTAGCAATAAGAAAATCTTCATGATATAGTTGTTTTTTTCTCTAATTTTAAACAAGTCACCTTGCATTATTGAAATTTGCAGTGTGTAATTAGAGCATATTATCATCTTACAAAGTTATTCAACATTTGTTTACCATTAATAACAATTTTTTCTCTCTTTTGAAAAAAATGTTAACAACTTATTAAATAAATCCTCAATATCTGTATTGATGTACAAAGTGGTGGATTTTTTTTCTAATATCAATCAATAAGAAATTCTTAATTCTATATCCCAACTAGTAGTTAATATAACAACAAGTATGTTGGAAAGAAAAATCAGTCCAAACACTAGCCTTTAACCAGATATTATTTTGTAGTCACTAACCTTAATGCCCTATATCATACTTTATTTCACTCTTAAGCTGAGCATTTTATATGAATACCTTAAAAGAAATGTCTAATATTGTAAAATATATTAGCAAATCTAGACTATAACATAGTTCTTAAGGCTTCAGTTAAACGATGGATAAAACACTTTAGTGTCTTTGTGGTCTTCATACATCAGGAGACAAGAAGTTAAGTACTTGTACAACTATATAATATGATATATATATATATATATA